CAAGACACATTGGCGCTCCTTTACTGGCTCCATTGCGTCGTAGCGTCGGCTGCACTGTCAATTATTGCGACTTTCCGGAGAATGCGCGGTCTCTGACAAGATACTTTTGGTGCTCCTTATTTGGCTCCATTGTGTCGTAGCGTCGGCTGCACTGTCAATTATTGCGATTTTCCGGAGTGTGCGGTCTCTGACAAGATACTTTTGGTGCTCCTTATTTGGCTCCATTGCGTCGTAGCGTCGGCTGCACTGTCAATTATTGCGATTTTCCGGAGAATGCGCGGTCTCTGACAAGATACTTTTGGCGCTCCTTCATTGGCTCAATTGCGTCGTAGCGTCGGCTGAACTGTCAATCAGTTCGATTTTCCGGAGTGTGCGGTCTCTGACAAGACACTTTTGGCGCTCCTTTACTGGCTCCATTGCGTCGTAGCGTCGGCTGCACTGTCAATTATTGCGATTTTCTGGAGAATGCGCGGTCTCTGACAAGATACTTTTGGCGCTCCTTCATTGGCTCAATTGCGTCGTAGCGTCGGCTGAACTGTCAATCAGTGCGATTTTCCGGAGTGTGCGGTCTCTGACAAGACACTTTTGGCGCTCCTTTACTGGCTCGATTGCGTCGTAGCGTCGGCTGCACTGTCAATTATTGCGACTTTCCGGAAAATGCGCGGTCTCTGACAAGATACTTTTGGTGCTCCTTATTTGGCTCCATTGTGTCGTAGCGTCGGCTGCACTGTCAATTATTGCGATTTTCCGGAGTGTGCGGTCTCTGACAAGATACTTTTGGTGCTCCTTATTTGGCTCCATTGCGTCGTAGCGTCGGCTGCACTGTTAATTATTGCGATTTTCCGGAGAATGCGCGGTCTCTGACAAGATACTTTTGGCGCTCCTTCATTGGCTCAATTGCGTCGTAGCGTCGGCTGAACTGTCAATCAGTGCGATTTTCCGGAGTGTGCGGTCTCTGACAAGACACTTTTGGCGCTCCTTTACTGGCTCCATTGCGTCGTAGCGTCGGCTGCACTGTCAATTATTGCGATTTTCTGGAGAATGCGCGGTCTCTGACAAGATACTTTTGGCGCTCCTTCATTGGCTCAATTGCGTCGTAGCGTCGGCTGAACTGTCAATCAGTGCGATTTTCCGGAGTGTGCGGTCTCTGACAAGACACTTTTGGCGCTCCTTTACTGGCTCCATTGCGTCGTAGCGTCGGCTGCACTGTCAATTATTGCGACTTTCCGGAGAATGCGCGGTCTCTGACAAGATACTTTTGGTGCTCCTTATTTGGCTCCATTGTGTCGTAGCGTCGGCTGCACTGTCAATTATTGCGATTTTCTGGAGAATGCGCGGTCTCTGACAAGATACTTTTGGCGCTCCTTCATTGGCTCAATTGCGTCGTAGCGTCGGCTGAACTGTCAATCAGTGCGATTTTCCGGAGTGTGCGGTCTCTGACAAGACACTTTTGGCGCTCCTTTACTGGCTCCATTGCGTCGTAGCGTCGGCTGCACTGTCAATTATTGCGATTTTCTGGAGAATGCGCGGTCTCTGACAAGATACTTTTGGCGCTCCTTCATTGGCTCAATTGCGTCGTAGCGTCGGCTGAACTGTCAATCAGTGCGATTTTCCGGAGTGTGCGGTCTCTGACAAGACACTTTTGGCGCTCCTTATTTGGCTCCATTGTGTCGTAGCGTCGGCTGCACTGTCAATTATTGCGATTTTCTGGAGAATGCGCGGTCTCTGACAAGATACTTTTGGCGCTCCTTCATTGGCTCAATTGCGTCGTAGCGTCGGCTGAACTGTCAATCAGTGCGATTTTCCGGAGTGTGCGGTCTCTGACAAGACACTTTTGGCGCTCCTTTACTGGCTCCATTGCGTCGTAGCGTCGGCTGCACTGTCAATTATTGCGATTTTCTGGAGAATGCGCGGTCTCTGACAAGATACTTTTGGCGCTCCTTCATTGGCTCAATTGCGTCGTAGCGTCGGCTGAACTGTCAATCAGTGCGATTTTCCGGAGTGTGCGGTCTCTGACAAGACACTTTTGGCGCTCCTTTACTGGCTCCATTGCGTCGTAGCGTCGGCTGCACTGTCAATTATTGCGATTTTCTGGAGAATGCGCGGTCTCTGAAAAGATACTTTTGGCGCTCCTTCATTGGCTCAATTGCGTCGTAGCGTCGGCTGAGCTGTCAATCAGTGCGATTTTCCAGAGTGTGCGGTCTCTGACAAGACACTTTTGGCGCTCCTTTACTGGCTCCATTGCGTCGTAGCGTCGGCTGCACTGTCAATTATTGCGATTTTCTGGAGAATGCGCGGTCTCTGACAAGATACTTTTGGCGCTCCTTCATTGGCTCAATTGCGTCGTAGCGTCGGCTGAACTGTCAATCAGTGCGATTTTCCGGAGTGTGCGGTCTCTGACAAGACACTTCTGGCGCTCCTTATTTGGCTCCATTGTGTCGTAGCGTCGGCTGCACTGTCAATTATTGCGATTTTCTGGAGAATGCGCGGTCTCTGACAAGATACTTTTGGTGCTCCTTCATTGGCTCAATTGCGTCGTAGCGTCGGCTGCACTGTCAATTATTGCGATTATCTGGAGAATGCGCGGTCTCTGACAAGATACTTTTGGCGCTCCTTCATTGGCTCAATTGCGTCGTAGCGTCGGCTGAACTGTCAATCAGTGCGATTTTCCGGAGTGTGCGGTCTCTGACAAGACACTTTTGGCGCTCCTTTACTGGCTCCATTGCGTCGTAGCGTCGGCTGCACTGTCAATTATTGCGATTTTCTGGAGAATGCGCGGTCTCTGAAAAGATACTTTTGGCGCTCCTTCATTGGCTCAATTGCGTCGTAGCGTCGGCTGAACTGTCAATCAGTGCGATTTTCCGGAGTGTGCGGTCTCTGACAAGACACTTTTGGCGCTCCTTTACTGGCTCCATTGCGTCGTAGCGTCGGCTGCACTGTCAATTATTGCGATTTTCTGGAGAATGCGCGGTCTCTGACAAGATACTTTTGGCGCTCCTTCATTGGCTCAATTGCGTCGTAGCGTCGGCTGAACTGTCAATCAGTGCGATTTTCCAGAGTGTGCGGTCTCTGACAAGACACTTTTGGCGCTCCTTTACTGGCTCCATTGCGTCGTAGCGTCGGCTGCACTGTCAATTATTGCGATTTTCTGGAGAATGCGCGGTCTCTGACAAGATACTTTTGGCGCTCCTTCATTGGCTCAATTGCGTCGTAGCGTCGGCTGAACTGTCAATCAGTGCGATTTTCCGGAGTGTGCGGTCTCTGACAAGACACTTTTGGCGCTCCTTATTTGGCTCCATTGTGTCGTAGCGTCGGCTGCACTGTCAATTATTGCGATTTTCTGGAGAATGCGCGGTCTCTGACAAGATACTTTTGGTGCTCCTTCATTGGCTCAATTGCGTCGTAGCGTCGGCTGCACTGTCAATTATTGCGATTATCTGGAGAATGCGCGGTCTCTGACAAGATACTTTTGGCGCTCCTTCATTGGCTCAATTGCGTCGTAGCGTCGGCTGAACTGTCAATCAGTGCGATTTTCCGGAGTGTGCGGTCTCTGACAAGACACTTTTGGCGCTCCTTTACTGGCTCCATTGCGTCGTAGCGTCGGCTGCACTGTCAATTATTGCGATTTTCTGGAGAATGCGCGGTCTCTGAAAAGATACTTTTGGCGCTCCTTCATTGGCTCAATTGCGTCGTAGCGTCGGATGAACTGTCAATCAGTGCGATTTTCCGGAGTGTGCGGTCTCTGACAAGACACTTTTGGCGCTCCTTTACTGGCTCCATTGCGTCGTAGCGTCGGCTGCACTGTCAATTATTGCGATTTTCTGGAGAATGCGCGGTCTCTGACAAGATACTTTTGGCGCTCCTTCATTGGCTCAATTGCGTCGTAGCGTCGGCTGAACTGTCAATCAGTGCGATTTTCCAGAGTGTGCGGTCTCTGACAAGACACTTTTGGCGCTCCTTTACTGGCTCCATTGCGTCGTAGCGTCGGCTGCACTGTCAATTATTGCGATTTTCTGGAGAATGCGCGGTCTCTGACAAGATACTTTTGGCGCTCCTTCATTGGCTCAATTGCGTCGTAGCGTCGGCTGAACTGTCAATCAGTGCGATTTTCCGGAGTGTGCGGTCTCTGACAAGACACTTTTGGCGCTCCTTATTTGGCTCCATTGTGTCGTAGCGTCGGCTGCACTGTCAATTATTGCGATTTTCTGGAGAATGCGCGGTCTCTGACAAGATACTTTTGGTGCTCCTTCATTGGCTCAATTGCGTCGTAGCGTCGGCTGCACTGTCAATTATTGCGATTTTCTGGAGAATGCGCGGTCTCTGACAAGATACTTTTGGCGCTCCTTCATTGGCTCAATTGCGTCGTAGCGTCGGCTGAACTGTCAATCAGTGCGATTTTCCGGAGAGTGTGCGGTCTCTGACAAGACACTTTTGGCGCTCCTTCTTTGGCTCCATTGCGTCGTAGCGTCGGCTGCACTGTCAATTATTGCGATTTTCCGGAGAATGCGCGGTCTCTGACAAGACACTTTTGGCTAAAAAAGGCCAGTGCCACGTGCCATCACAATGTCAGGTGACCATGCAACGTGACACTGCACGTGACTTCGCAGGAATCCTATAAATGCCATGCATTTAGAGCACAGCGTGACGTGATGGTGCGATCTTATCGAGGCTACATCCCAGTGGGGACTCGAAAACTCTTAAATGCTGTCCCCATTTAAAAGATTGCGTGGATTTGAGTCACAAAGTTGAAGGAGATGCTAACACTGCTAAAAAATGCCACAAAAGTTGTTGCAAGCACGCTGCACAACCAAATAACGTTGGATGCTTTTCCCCTTTAAAAGATCATTTTGTCACGCCCCCTCGTTTATGTTGCACTAGCTTCTGTAGTATGAAATCTATGCACCGTGAATACCGAAGCAAACCCGAGAAATTTAGCTGGGGGCAATGGCGATTTTAAATTAAAATATGGAAGGCATTTTCTCAAATGATTGCCAAACTCCTTTTCTGGGACCTATTTTATTGAAATTGTTTGTACAGAGATGTTCATGCTAAATGCTCATAAAGAGTTCATCGTTTGCTTTTTTTTTGTGGAGGGTCCAGCTCAGCGACTGGTGTCGTTGCAGTGGGGCTCATGCGCTCTTCTTTGACTTTTGCAATAGTACAGCCTGAATGTTGGGAAAGACTGCTCCCTGCATGATGGTTAGAGCGGACAGCAGCTTCTTGGGCTCCTTGTTGTTCCAAATGACCATGTGGAAGCACCTGAAGTAATTTGAAGAAAATCAGCCATATTCACCAGGCACTGCTTGAGTGGCATGTCTCAGTAGTTGCAAGCTAAACAAAGATTTAGACTAGGCTCGGCGGTACTCACGAGCGCGTTTACTTAGGAGCATGGTGTTACTCTTGAGGTGGGGACACGGTGCTGCTATGCGACGGACCAGATAGAGTCCTCTTGAAGTGCGCTTGAGTAGCCTATGCTAACAGCGTTTCCACCGGCCAGACGGCACAACCGAGAAGAAACAACCCAAAAATGTGTCACCCCCAAACACAGCGCTTTCTGCTCGGAAAGTCCGCTCCGACCTCGACGGATGCCGGCTCGTACACTGTGCCGGAGATCTCTGCGTTTTTACGAGCTCATAAAATTGTTCTTGCCAATATTGAGGCCCCAAGCAATGACGAAGCTGGTCTAAGCAACAACTAGCGCAAGTGCCAAGTTCTCCATGACCCGGCACATCCAGAAAAAGACGAGCAATCACAAGCCGATTATCCATCTGAACGAGGCTTTATCTGGCAGCTGCGACATTTGCCACACCCATCTTACACCATGGCCAGGAGCAACTGGTGCAAGGGACATAAAAAGATAGCCGATGCATGTGCACACTCAAATGCCTCTGTGTGGATTTCATTGTGTAAAAACTATTATGCAACTACCAAATAGGAAAACGTAACAAGATTCGGCACAGCAGTTTCAAATATATTAATTAAAAACGCACGAGGAAGACACCACACGCTCCAAGTGACATAAGCAAATATGAAAGTGCCCGTCAATGAGGACATGCTCCAGCAACCTGCTACAACTGTTTTAGCTGCAGCTCTGACCTCTAAACGTGCCAATTCTGAGAACATTTGCTGCTGCGATTCTTTCTAGATGTGCCCCGCGGCAATCCAAGACAGTAAATGTCTTGCCAGTGCTGGAGGTGAGCGGAGATGGCAGTGTTGTACACGTTCCTCAAAAAAAGGAACGAAAGCTCGTTCCTTGTTCCTTACAATTTTTGGAACGCGTTCCCGTTACAAGTTTCACTTGTGAAAGGGGAACTCGTTCCCATTACAGTTTAGAAATAGAACGTACCGTTACATATACGTTACATTTGCATTTTGATGATTACCATATTCAATTGGATCGAACAGAGTTGTTTTTGTAGTTTTTTAATCTATCCCATTAAATGGCAACATACGAATTTGAATGCCGTGATGGAAGGACAGAAGAAGAAGACAAGCGGAAGCAAGGTTTCATTTGTTGATATATTCACGTTTAAAAATCTCAGCTTTGGGCCTTATTCATCTTTGTGGTGGGCGATTCAGACGAGCCAAATGTACTGTTGCATGCGTGTTTTACAACAATCTCACACGTTTCAATCTAACAAAGTCCCTCATTCGAACTTAACAACACTTGCTTCTCGATGTTTCTGTCCGCAAGACGAGCAAGTGGAGAAGAGGGTTTTTGGAAGGCCAGTCTTGAAAGCTGCCAGTCCTTTGTGAAGGTTAGATTCGTTGTTCCGTTTTAAAGTGGGGGACAACGGGAGAAGGAATAAAGGTTAATTTTTGTGTATACTTTAAGCGACCAATCTTTGGGATACAAGATTGCGTTTGATGACTGGTCACCTGTTGTTCTGTTGTCACTGTAGGTCTCTTTCTGAAAGTTCAGGGATGGCTGTAGTCGGCGTTAGATTTCTGGTGTATGAGGATTCGTGGAAGCAAAGAAAGCAACTGAGTTTGAGAAGTCCCTCTTTCTGTGTCTTTTCTTTCGACTAAACGTTTTGGTTTTTTGTACCGCAGTCTCGGGCACTGAAAAAAAAAAATGTATCCATGTCCATTAGCTTTCCTCCACCCAACTGTTACCAAGAGAATACCCCACAAAATAAACACTAAAGCGCTATTCACACACTTGCAACCAAGTACGACCGAGAGAGACAAGACCAGTTTTTAAGCCTCTTGCGACGTCTTACGACCAGCTCCACAGCAACGCATTCGGTCCTAAGTCCTCGCAACAAGCTTAAAAACCGGTCTTGCCTCGGTCGGTCCGACTCGGTAGCAAGTGTGTTAACGGGCCTTAAGTGTCATTCAACACTTGCAACCGAGTACGACTCAGCGAGACAATACCGGGTTTTAAGCCTCTTACAACAGCGTAGGACCAGACGCGCTACTGCGGAGCAGGTCCTTCAACGTTATAAGTTGCTTAAAAACAGGTCTTGTCTCTCATGCTCGTACGCGGTTTCACAAATCTGGCTTCAGATAAGTAAAAAAAAGTTAACGAGACCCTGCCCTTTGTAATGATATTGTTTTTGAGACATTTTAAAATTTCCCTTTTAAAAATCAAGTAAAAATTACCAATTAAAAATGGACGAAATACAACTCTCTGTAACGCCGAATTAGAGCGCAGCTCTTGAGGAGGAGGAGGGAAGGGTACTGAGGTTCACGTGTTATCGGGGGGGGGGGGAGGGGTGGTCACGTGACCTTGGAGGGGTCACATGACCCCCTCGCCAAGGTCACGTGGAAGTCACGTGACCTGGGGGTGTCACGTGACCACCACGTGACCAAGGGGGTCACGTGACCTCGGGGGGTCACCTGACCTGAAGAGAGATTTTTCCGCTAGATTTAGCGGAGAAATTTTTCCGCCAGATTTAGCGGGAAAATTGTTTCGCTAGATTTAGCGGGGAAATGTTTCCGCTAGATTTAGCGGAGAAATTTTTCCGCTGGATTTAGCAGGGAAATTTTTCCGCTAGATTTAGCGGGGAAATTTTTCCGCTAGATTTAGCGGGGAAATTTTGCCGCTAGATTCAGCGGGGAAATTTTGCCGCTAGATTCAGCGGGGAAATTTTTCCACTAGATTTAGCGGGGAAATTTTTCCGCTAGATTTAGCAGGGAAAATATTCCGCTAGATTTAGCGGGGAAAATATTCCACTAGATTTAGCGGGGATATTTTTCCGCTAGATTTAGCGGGGATATTTTTCCGCTAGATTTAGCGGGGAAATTTTTCCGCTAGATTTAGCGGGGAAATTTTTCTGCTAGATTTAGCGGGGAAATTTTTCCGCTAGCGGGGAAATTATTTCGCTATATTTAGCAGGAAAACTTTTCCGCTAGATTTAGCAGGGAAACTTTTCCGCTAGATTTAGTGAGGAAATTTTTCCGCTAGATTTAGCGGGGAAATTTTTCAGTTAGATTTAGCGGGGAAAATATTCCGCTAGATTTAGCAGGGAAATTTTTCCGCTAGATTTAGCGGGGAAATTTTTCCGCTAGATTTAGCGGGGAAAATATTCCGCTAGATTTAGCGGGGGAAATTTTTCCGCTAGATTTAGCGGGGAAATTTTTTCGCTAGATTTAGCGGGGAAATTTTTCCGCTAAATTTAGCGGGGAAATTTTTCCGCTAGGTTTAGCGGGGAAATTTTTCAGTTAGATTTAGCAGGGAAAATATTCCGCTAGATTTAGCAGGGAAATTTTTCCGCTAGATTTAGCGGGGAAATTTTTCCGCTAGATTTAGCGGGGAAAATATTCCGCTAGATTTAGCGGGGGAAATTTTTCCGCTAGATTTAGCGGGGAAATTTTTCCGCTAGATTTAGCGGGGAAATTTTTCCGCTAAATTTAGCGGGGAAATTTTTCCGCTAGATTTAGCGGGGAAATTTTTCCGCTAGATTTAGCGGGGAAAATATTCCGCTAGATTTAGCGGGGGAAATTTTTCCGCTAGATTTAGCGGGGAAATTTTTTCGCTAGATTTAGCGGGGAAATTTTTCCGCTAAATTTAGCGGGGAAATTTTTCCGCTAGATTTAGCGGGGAAATTTTTCAGTTAGATTTAGCAGGGAAAATATTCCGCTAGATTTAGCAGGGAAATTTTTCCGCTAGATTTAGCGGGGAAATTTTTCCGCTAGATTTAGCGGGGAAAATATTCCGCTAGATTTAGCGGGGGAAATTTTTCCGCTAGATTTAGCAAGGAAATTTTTTCGCTAGATTTAGCGGGGAAATTTTTCCGCTAAATTTAGCGGGGAAATTTTTCCGCTAGATTTAGCGGGGAAATTTTTCAGTTAGATTTAGCAGGGAAAATATTCCGCTAGATTTAGCAGGGAAATTTTTCCGCTAGATTTAGCGGGGAAATTTTTCCGCTAGATTTAGCGGGGAAAATATTCCGCTAGATTTAGCGGGGGAAATTTTTCCGCTAGATTTAGCGGGGAAATTTTTCCGCTAAATTTAGCGGGGAAATTTTTCCGCTAGATTTAGCGGGGAAATTTTTTCGCTAGATTTAGCGGGGAAATTTTTCCGCTAAATTTAGCGGGGAAATTTTTCCGCTAGATTTAGCGGGGAAATTTTTCAGTTAGATTTAGCAGGGAAAATATTCCGCTAGATTTAGCAGGGAAATTTTTCCGCTAGATTTAGCGGGGAAATTTTTCCGCTAGATTTAGCGGGGAAAATATTCCGCTAGATTTAGCGGGGGAAATTTTTCCGCTAGATTTAGCGGGGAAATTTTTCCGCTAGATTTAGCGGGGAAATTTTTCCGCTAAATTTAGCGGGGAAATTTTTCCGCTAGATTTAGCGGGGAAATTTTTCCGCTAGATTTAGAGGGGAAATTTTTCCGCTAGATTTAGCAGGGAAATTTACCCATAATGCACCGCGCGGTTACGCCGACGGCGACGCCGCTCAAGCCGGAAACGGGCGCCTAAGAGCTGCGCTCTAAAAAAGGAACGCCGTTCCTTCTTCCATTCCAGTAAAAAAGTAACGGGTTCCCGTTCCAGTTCCACTGATGCAAAATGAAACGGCGGTATTCCTTTGTTTCTCCGAAAAGGAACGCCGTTTCGTACAACACTGGGAGATGGGTGTCGGCCACGGAGCCGAGTCGCTGGTCTCCCACTAATCGCCGGCTAAACTAGCCCCAAGCGACAACTAGGATTTGTTAGTCACCTTCCAAGTCACTCTGAGTGACTAAGCAGCACAGTTGGAGAATACCGAGTGCTTACTGAGCTACGATCACCATCTGATAATTTTCTATGAACAGCAAGTGTGAAAGAAGCTGCATGCTCACTGCATGCTCGCTGCAAGCCTCTGCGAGAGACTGATGGCGAGTTTGCGTGGTTCTTCCTGCGCGCTCTCGAGCGCTCTTTCCAGAGCGCGCGAAATCGGGTGGTTGAAAGATAGTGCTGTGGCCTGATCAGGTGGTTCATTCCGAGAGCGCCTCTCCCTCTCAGAGCGCTCCCTGGCACTCTGTCTGTAGCCGTCGGAGTGCGGAGCGGTGCAGGCGTCACGTGGTACTTGGACGGTGATCACGTGGTTTTGTTGACGATGACCGGCAGTGTTCTGTGGTGGTGTGCGGGGTACGGCATGACGGCGATTGATATGTGGTTCTACAAAGTGCTTGTGCATTCGACGGTGCCAGGATTACAACGGACGAGACGACATTCGTTTGCGACCGTAACAGGAAAAGTCGACGTATGAAGTATTCCCAGTGCTTTCGCGAGATCGTTCATCTCACGGCGGTGAATCTGCTAAGCTTAACCGACGACGAAACAGCTCGCAGAGCTTGCTGCTTTTTTACCGGGTTTTGTGGTCGCTTCAAGAAATTTTGAGGTTTGGTAAAGGTATGTTCGAAGGTTTGTGTTGTAAAATAAAGGGAGAGCCGAATATAATGCACTGTGATTTGTGTCACATTGCGATGCTTGCATAATATTTCGCCGCGAGAAAAATGCGGTTTAGTAACCATTTTATATTTGCCTGCTCGGTCGTACGCATGACCGCTATCGCAGCGCGTTCACTGTTAAAAACGCGATGAGTTGACAACTGTTTCCAAGCGCTGGCTTTCGTTCCGTTCTGCAAAAATCAATTCGCATACTGTTTTCTTTTTTTTACATTAAGATGCGCAAAACAATTTATGTCACAACCGTTATTTCATCACGTTGCGAGCGTAAATTTTGCTCAATCGTCCACCGTACGCTGTAAGATTGTGTTGTTTTTAATGCATTACCAATGTCCGGAAGTTTTAATTCCGTGACTGGTCTAAGAATCTCGGAGCGCTCTGAAGCCAGTAGTTGTGATCGGCTGAAAAGGATCCCGAGTAGCTCTGGCGACGAGGAGGGGGCGCTCGGCTGTATCGAGGTCAGAGAAGAGAGGCGACCACCCGAATCCACCACGAGTCCCTTGGCAAGAATCAATCCGCTGACCTCTTACTCGGTAATCAGACATCCCTGCGATTCCGGGCAGGCTCCGGTTGGTTAGAATTGCCGCAAATACTTTGCCACCCCAGGCAAAACAAGCCACTGCTTGTTTTGCACCTCCCAATTTTATTCGTAGGATACATTTAAATCTCTCTCCGACTACTTCTCGACTACCACGTATAAATAGTTCAATTTCATTCTTGTTGTTTTCTCAGTTTTGAAAGACACTTCGGTGACTGAATTCTTCGCAAGGAGTAGCCCAATCATTTTCTCGAATAAAAGCAAACACCAGTCAAGAGAGAATTGGTCTGGACAAGACATGTCCGAGTTGTTCCACCAAGCCAACTTGATAGATTCGGCCGCTAAACATTCATAGACGCTCAACCGGAAAGTCCCCTCTTTCAGACGGCATCCGTCAGCAATTCACTGGAGCAGCCCATTTGTTGCAGGCTGCACCTGCTTTCTCGACAGCTGTTGTTCACCGCAAAGAGGGCAGCATTTTAATCGACAACCGTGCACGCAGTTTGCCAACCGAGCTGTCCTCGAAAGCTCTTTCCCTGCACACGAGCGGCACGAGCAACAGTCTGGAAGTTACCATGGGAGCCAGAGAGGAGTTGGTGATGATTCCAAGGGCTGACGTCTGGTCAATCTCGGCCAGCAGATCGGCAGGGAAGACCGTCCGCAGGAAGCCTTTCTGCTCGTCTGTCAACGCCGGGTCGGGCAGGAACGTTATCTTCTCGTACCACTTGTCTGCAGGAAACGTCCCCATTGCGTAATGAATTTCCCTTCCTGTTGCAAAAAAAGGCGAATGCTGTGGCCTGTGGTCGATACAGGTGTGTGCCTCATGAACCAATGTCACCCCGTCTGGCCCGACTTCGACGGCACTGGCTGCGACCCGGGGGGTTTATGAGGATCCATTGTGGCGTTGTAACATGCAGACAAGAAAAAAGGCCCTCTTTGGGCCAAACCACCAGTGCAGAGCCCACCGAAGCTACGCTCATGCCTCACTGTGCTTCGTTCACCACCCAACCGACAGTGTGGCAACGTGCTCGTAGGACCAGTCGTAGGTCTATCTTTCACCACATGATTGCATATCCGCGCGCAGAGAGAGAGATCAGCTAATGAAAGAGAGGTTCGACGAGCGTGTAGCTCTCACTGCATTGCGAGCTTAGCGGTGAACGGAGTATGGCACGGTGCTAAGGATACGTCTTTGACTAGTGATTGCACCTTCACTTTCGGTTCCTTGATTTGTGCCTCGTCCTAACGGTGTCACGCTGCAGCTAGCAGCAATCGGTGGCATGGCGGTCAAGTTGGATATGGCAGATGCTCGTTCGGCCGCCGTTCTGTTTGCAGCTTCACAAAAACTCGAGCGGCCACAGGTTGAGAAGCCGCGATGACAGCTACCCTTGCATCCGTTCGCCTGCTTTGCCAGCACTTCCACGACCTACCGACAGTGGGAGCCACAGACAGCAACATTTTTGCGGCGAATGCAACGTTTTTGCGGCGAGTGCATTTCACGTAGGGCCATGTGGCCACGTCACGTATCGTCGCAATGTCGCACGATACCAGTTTTCCGCTAAATCTGGAGGAAAAATATTTCCGCCAATTAACAAAAAATGTATCTGCTAAATTTAGCCGGAAAATGCCCGTGTGCGGTGAGACTGGGTGTTATTTCTGCCGCAGAGGGCAATGCCACGGCTGTCCCCGCAGTTCACTTACAACACAAAACAAGGAACCGAGTTTTTTTTGTTTGTTTTTGCCACTACGAGATTGTTTTGTGCGGGCAGTAAGGATGCTAAACACACCAGTCGTCAAAGGTGTGCTCCAGGCAAGAAGGTTAGAAACCCGGGCTGCATTTCTGCGTTTCATTTTTTCAAAATGCAACGGCACTTGGACGCTTCAATGCTATACTGAGACAAACCTTGTTGCAGAACGGCCCACCTTGCATCTCTGTACCCAGCCCGACCACTGGTCTCTCTTTTCCGGCGTATCAATGGCAGAATTAACACACTGAGCCTCAGTGGGCCGCTACAGTGTATTATGTGCATGATCGCACGTAACATGACAAAGTGTGAAACTTGAGCCCCCCTTCCCTGGCACCCCAAAGTCATGGAGCCCCCTCAGCCCCCCCTCGAAAAAATTCCTGGCTAAGCCACTGACTTGAGCAAACAATACGCAGCTTTACGTTGAAAAAAAAAGAAACAACGGCGGAACAAAAAAATTGGGGCTCCGATCCACGCTGCGAGGGTGGTTGGTGAGCGAAGCTGTGGTATCGCCTGCAACGATTGCTGCACTATACGAAAAACCGCCGCCGGTCGCAGCACGCCACCGCTGATCGCATTGCCGTTTCTTTTCCCTCTCCTAGTATTCACGCTGCTCCTCGGGAGTCCCAACAATGCGTGGCCTATTCATCGCAGTGCTGCAGTCAAATCGGTTGCTATACTCCGTTTCAGGTTACTTTTAAGCGGATGTTACGAGCCATTGAGGCCAATCGGAGGCCGTGTTAGTGTCACATGACCTTAGAGAGGCGGCACAGCGACGCGCGGAAAGCGTATAACAGGCCACGTCTACAGAACAGGATAGGCTAAGATAGCTCGTAGCATCCGCTGCATCCGGACATAAGGTGAAACAGGGTACTGTCGAGACCGGTTACGGTGAAGTCAGTTATAACGCGATATCGGCTACAGCAAAGCGAACACGATTTCCCATTCCCTTTTGCACTTCATTATAACCGAAATCGGTTATAACAAATACGATATAGCTTCACCAATACTGGAAACTGCCCCGAAAACCTATGGGAGCGGCGGCGAACGTGACAGTGGCGCCTCTAGCAGACTCGGGGTCTACGAAAGCGGACAACGCAATGGAAAAGTATAGGCTCCGCGACGTCCTCGAGCTTTGCGAGCCCCAACAGCCCCCCCCCCCCCCCCAACAGCTGAAACAATTCATTACGGTCAACATGTTTGCAAAGCGGAATCCAACGATTGCAACTGCAACGACAAACGAATAACAATGCGTGCATGAACGAACATAGAGCAGTTTATTTAGAGGTCTCAAACGCTGCTCAGGGGGATCACACGCATTTAAAGCGCATCTGGCAAGCGGAAAAAAGGTGTTTAGCCACTCGTACTATGTCGTAAGAAGTTACTGTTTATCCATTACAAACTGCGTTGTCACAATTTCTTACCTTTTAACAATATGTTAAAATTACCAGAGCAAGCGCACCAGTCTCTGCAGCATTACAAAAACAAAAAGTAACGAGAAAAATGACCGTGCAAACACTTTCCGAACTTTGCAGAAAAGATGGGGTCCCCATCCCAGACGAAAATAAAAAGAAATGGAGAACAGTCGCAAACAGCAGCCGGCGATTGCAACGAAGAAGTTAGCAGACAATACCAAAATACAAATCACCCAGCAAAGACCTCCTTCAACGACGATGATCGCACGGGGCGTCGGTTGAAAATTAGCAGGTGGAGCTCGCGCTCGGTGTTGAGTCCACAACAAGCAAAGCAAAAGATACTTGACGAAACTATAAAAAAAAAAAAAAAGGCTTAACTTTTTTTTTTTTTTAGCTGCACACTACACGTTTGTTTATTTGCTTCTTTCGCGGCGTTGGTAGGAACTAAGAACAAAAGAGCTGCAATCTGCTGCGTGCGAGCAGTGTGTGACCTTTTTTGCTTTTCTTTTCCCAGTGACTTTGGGAGGTTGTTTGTTTGCTCGCTTGGTTTACTCGCAGCTCTGCCCACATCCCTAACGAAAATCACAAACACAGAAAGAAATATCTAGGACCGCGAAGTGCACACCCCAAAACCTTGAACAAGACTGAAACAAACGGTGTCATGAAATTAGTCCGTCACTCCATACTACACAAGATGAGTGCAAGTGTGAAATAACTATGCGAGGTTGCTCGCAGATGGCGAAACAGGATAGATACTAAAATCCATTAGGCAATTTCCTTCTTGAAATATATAAAACGAAGATCTTGTTGGAGATACATTAAAGGGGCACTGAAGTCGATTCTGAGATCGTCCTTTTGTGGTGACAACTCAGTCTAGGTGCTCTAAGCATCCCAACAAACCCGGAATCACAATCATGCATAGCTTATATCCTTGTTAATGGGGGGACAGCAATCAGAAAAGTCAACCTCTGTACCGCCTGCTTGATATCAATCGAAGTTGCAGTGGAAGTTTATACGAGTGGCAAGCCCATTCCTGCCAAATTTCCTCGTCCTATGTCAATTCCAAAACTTGTTACGAATGTTACAATATGAAAGCAGGGTGTCAAACCGCTCATTATTTCGGTTCGGGTTCAGTAGCACTGCATTTTGTTCCGGTTCGGTTCTGGCTTAGTGTAGCGCACATAATATCACTCCGGTTACCGGTTCCTAACTCGACCTTTGAATTTTGAACGAGCACTTCCTTCAGCCTTTTGTGAGCACGAGATACAGTGTAGACCGCATATAACGTATGTCGCGGGAGTCGCGAAAATCCGCACTAAAAGCGGTACCGCGTTATAACCAAAACATCAATTTTTCAGGCCAAAACACATGCCATGAGACAACTTATCTTTGTAAAACAATTTATTTTATGTGAGATGAAAAATACAGCTTAGTTTGAGGAAAGTCTTTATTTCACCAGACCAGTACACTTCCCTCTCAAGTGTGTCACAGATTTTGAAAGCAATGAGCGGCTTTTGCCTGGCGCAGTCTTTTAGCGGCGTCGCGGGTTGCGGACGGACGTTGCGAGCGTTCAGGATTGCTAACCCTAATCACTTTTCTCCGGAGATGAAAACGCGTGAAAATTCGGATCCTTCATACGGTACGCGCCAGTAATACCTTGAACTTGAGCACACGCATGAAATGCGCCAAATAAAAAATCCGGGCGATGTTCGAGCACACAAATGCTTAGAAATCACCACTGTAGTCGAAGTAAACAAACACGACGACACGGGCGTTTCTGCCGTCTTGAGAGCGCCGCCACGACATCGCCGCTCGAGTAGGTGGATCTTCCCTTCTAGTACGTGCTGGGTTATCATAGCGACACAGCGAAAATTCACAGTAAAGGATAGCGCTTTTACGCGGAACGATGAGATGAACGCCGACGACGATCACAACGTTGATCACAACCGATGCCATGTTTGCGGATTAGAAGCAGCCGGCCCGCGACCGGCATGCGACGCGCGCGAACACTTCTCGACCTGCAATTGGTCTGTCGTTGCGGTGGTTGCGGTTGTTTCGGATGTTTTCAAGGAAGCGGAGGGACGCACGCACGTGAACGACACGTGCGTGCGTCCCTCCGTCGCTAAGGCAACTGAAGCCTCTCCCTTCGCTTCTCCCGCTTCTTCGAGCAACCTCCTTGCCCCACGAGTGCCGCTTGCGCAACGCTTGCGGCTCGCGCCGTCAGCGCCATTATCTAGTGTCGCACAGGGAAGCGTGCTCGCTGCTCCGGTCGTCGGCGCGGTCGGCGGGCTGTGCCAGAAACCGCACTATAACCGGTATTTCCCTTCGCGCGCCTGCGTTTTAAGCGGTATGTAATTACATGGAGTTCTATGGGAGGCGAACCGGTGGTTTAAAAAAACCGCGTTATACCCGGTCCTGCACTATAAGCGGTTACGTTGTAAGTGGTCTATACTGTACTTTCAATGCAGCCATCCCAAAACTAGTCGCTCTTCAGGCAGATCTGAAAACCCTGCACAGTGACATCCGCAAAAGACACCATTAATCTGGCAAGGCACTTGAACAATACTGTTCATAAGTGACCTATAGATCGGCTTTCCATTTTTATGGTGTCATTTGCACATGCAGCTGGGCAGTGTTTCAAACCCTGGCACTAGAGGGCGTAACTTGTTGATGGGTTTATAGACCTTTCTAAAAAAGAGCTTGTGGTTTGTGCCATCTTTAGTGGTCAGAGGTATAGCGCGTGCTTTGCTCGCTTTCCGAAGCGACAGACATGCACGTGCTGGGCTGTGAAGATCGCCCGCTGGGCTGTGATTTTGTAAACAGTAAAAAGATCTCTACTGGAGTGCTTGCCCTTTATATGTTTTTGTTTGTTTTGCTCTGCACACACGTTTTTTAGACATGGTACCTGTTTTCGGCGCCCAGTAAGATGTCGCAGCTATGCCCCAGAGTGGCTGACAGCGGAACGAGAGGAAACAGATGGGAAGTAAAACACAGAAACAGGCACGTCGAGTGCACAGCTGTGGTTGGTACATCGGCCGGCCGATGTGTCAATAACCGAGCACGTGAGCACGCGTGTATAGTAAAACGTGACTACATCTTCACAGCGCTTTGGGTTCTGGCGGAAAAACGCTGTTCTAAAGATATCCTGGCGATACTTTGTCTTGTCACTTTGACTTTTTACTGCAAACAACGCTCTATGAAAATGACCCGGTCTGAGAGACTCAGAAGCAGCTCATAGCAGGAATTTTTAACGTTTAATCCGCGATAATTTTAACAGTACTCACATCTCCACCAGACAAAGTTCCGGCAATGCCACCACAGCGAACGACGTTTCTCGACTGCTCAGTTGAAGATGATGAAAGAGGATTTCAAACAAAAATGAGAAAATGGTTGAATAGGCGACATGCAGGCCTCGCTAGTCTGACAAGCCTACAAAAAAGAATATACGAGCAAAAAAAAGACATTTCCTCCTTTTCCGTTTCTTCCCGTCCTCCCTCCGGCCTCGAATCATCGCCGAGCATTGTTGCCTCCGACGGCCTATGTTTCTTATTTTTTCTGTAATGTAACACTTCAAACACGTTGAAGAAAAGATTATTTTTCACTGAAATGGAACACAGGTGACCCTACAAACTATACTGCCGATGCAGCATGATCCTCCTTCAGCGCGGACCCACTTTCCTTCAGCGTGTCGCTGCACTCAAGCGGAAGGTCACGTGGAGTGCTCTCGGTGCTCGATTGGCTAAATGGCTCATCAACGGCAACCGTGGTCCATCTTGAGGTCAAACATTTGCGGACGCGTAGGCCTCCGTGCCTAGAGCGGCGCAATCCGCTCCGACACTTGGACATTTCGTAGCCAAGCGGCCAAGCAATGCTTTGAAAGCGGTCAATCCAGGAAACTAAGTAAAGCTGAAGCTCTCCAGACGCCTAAGTAGAGGCAGGAACTGAGCGAGCTCGCTGACCGCGCGGTATCTTTGTGTCTCTGCTTTTGATGATGATGTATTTTTTTATTACGTATGCAAGAAAAATGAAATGTAAAAATTCCTAATAATATGTAGGATTAGTCTTGGCAGTATAAGAAAAATATGCACGCTACTTTTCCCATTAAGACCAATTATTGACACAATTGGCCCTGAACCGCTTTCGTTGAACCGGTAACCGCCAAATCAGATTTTGGTTGTTCCGGTTCGGGTTCAATATCAAGCGTTCAGTTTTGTACCGGTTCGGTCAAAAATAAAGGTTTTGATCTGGTTTTCGATTCGGGTTCGGTTCGACACCCTGTATGAAAGTCAGTGTGTTTGCTTGTGATTGTGATTTTTGTGTAATGTAGTGTAATATTGAAAATGTGTGATTTTTATGTGTAATATAGTGATAGGAATACCCATAGCACATACCCAGCTAGTTATTTAGCTACATTGCATTGTTTTTCATATTTACAACTTTGTAAGAAGATTAAATTTTGTTTCTCATGTCTGTGCTTTTTTGTAAAAGTAGATGTTTTAGCATAAAAGAATGTTAAAGTAGAAAAACAAACCAGCCAGGCATGTTCCTCACAAAATTCTATCCCAGAAAACCACCTAAGAATAATTCTCTATTGTGTAAAAGGAAAACAACGGTTTTTCTAAAGTGAAATTTTTGCCGAAAAGTGGAACAGAGAAAAATGCATTCAAAGTGCTCCAACCCCTACCTTTTCTTTGGCATCGGTGGACTGAAAATAATATTTAATAAATTAACTTTGCAGTGTAAACTAATTAAACTTTCTGGGAATACTCTCTAAATGTCGGTAGATGTAAATATGGCATTTTTTTCAAAATTAACCTTTTTTGCAGAAATTGTTTTTTGTGGGTAGTGTCCCCCCTTTAAAGCGTGCTCACAGATCGATGCCTTTTTGAAAACTTCCGAGTGAAGTGGTCGACAAAGGGCGCTTGTCGGCGAGTTGCAAGCAATAGCTTCGCCCGCAGAGAAAATGTCTTATCCAAATATCAGTCTCTTCGAAACAAGTTATAATAAAAACATTCGGAATCTGTAGGGCTTTCATTGGTCCACACAATGTAGTCCGCGAGAAAAAGAATCCACGTGTTTTTCTATTTCCTCGAGATGAATAGGCCGTTTTGTAATACAGCATAGACCACTTACAACGTAACCACTTATAGTGCAGGAGCAGGTATAACGTGGCTTTTTTAAACCACCGGTTCGCCTCCCATAGAACCTTATGTAATTACATACCGCTTAAAATGCAGGCGCGCGAAAGGAAATACCGGTTATAGTGCGGTTTCTGGAACAGCCCAGCGACCGCGCCTACAACCGGAGCAGCGAGCACGCTTCCCTGTGCGACACTAGATAACGGCGCTGACGGCGCTAGCCGCAAGCGGCACTCGCGGGGCAAGGAGGTTGCTCGAAGAAGCTGGGAAAAGCGAAGAGAGAGGCTTCAGTTGCCACAGCGACGGACTAGTTCGCAAACTATATGTGCTAGAAAATTTGAATTTTATGTAGAATAGACTATCCCCAAGTGCAGACCATAGAGGAATTTCGTTTTTCAAGATCACTCGTTATAACGAGATGTGACCAATTGTGCGAGTGAAGGAGTATGTTGACGACAATTTATGTACGATACAAGCTTCTCTGTGTATGAAAGTGTTTACTTGCTGAGCAGGCACCGTCTGTGGACTATGCGATCGAGCCAAAAACAAAATTACTTTCTAGTTGCCGATGCAGAACGATGAAGAGAAGCAGACGCACGGTTCGGCTGCCAGGGTCACCATACGCAATGGATGGAAGCATAGAACCGACCGGTAGTGCCACTCTGTTTGCGCACAGAGCCACGGATTGTTTGAGCAGGGTTCTCCTCGCAGTGGAACTAGAGAATCCCCGCAAACAAAATGCCCGCTGCGCGGTAGACGTCGAGAACACTAAAAGTCGCGCCAACCCCTCCCGCCACGTTGGGAATTGTCGGACGTTCTTGAACGTTTCTGGAGAGAACCTCGGGATTCCCACCAGAAACGAGGTGCTTGGGGAGGCCAGCTTTAGAAGGGAACGCTTTGGGGAACTCACGACCAGGGACGCGTCTCCGACCAGTGGGTAAGTGGTTCCTCCATTTCTGCGCAATGACATACGTGCGTCGTCCAAGGTGGGAGGACCTTATCGGCGACTCTACCGAGGAACTCACAGTCCGACGGGCAGGCCACGTTGCACCAGGCACCCAGCTTGTCCCCGAGATGGCGTCCGCACTCGGGGGTGGTGGTGACGTGCAGCACGGGCATCTTGTCCGCCAGGTGGCCCAGCACCCTGGTCACGTCCGTCCTGCTTAGGCTCACCTCCTCTGCGCAGGGGGGGAAAAGCATGCTCGGAACAAAATTTCGGGAAGCTGGCAGGCGGCGGCGCCAGGGTTGGACGGGCATTTTAGACCACCCAAGGATATCAGAGCGCAGCTCTCAGGCGCCCGTTTCCGGGTTGAGCGGCGTCACCGGCGGCGTAACCATGCATTGCATTATGGGATGTTTCCCCGCTAAAGTTGGCAGAAAACTTTGTCCGCTAAATTTAGCCAACATTTCCTTGCTAAACTTATTGGAAAAAAATTCTTTACAAAATTTAGCACAAATTTCCCCGCTAAATTTACCGAAAATTTTCCCGCTAAATTTAGCACAAAAATTTCCCTGCTGAATTTAGCAAAACAAAATTGTCCACTAAATTTAGCGGGGAAACTTAACTCGCTAAATTTAGCCCGAGAATATCCTCGCTAAATTTAGCAAAAAAGAATCCCCCCCATATATAGCGGAAAAATTTCCCCACTAAATTTAGCACAAAAAGTTTTGCAGTAAATTTAGTGGAAATTTCTCGCTAAATGGGAGGGGAGTAGGAGAGGAGGAAGAAAGGGAGAGGTATACCCTCCCCTCCTCCTCGTCAAGAGTTGCACTCACATTCGGCATTACAGAGAATTGTAAACGTCTTTCATTTCTTTATGGGCAACCAAAATTCAAGCTACGGGCTCCACAAAAAGCCTCCAAACTTTACTTTAAGATATCGCCAGCCACTCAGCTGGCAGCAGAGGCAACGACAATACAACAAACATTTTCAAAAATACCCGAGACTGCGGTAAAAGATGGGAATAGAAGTTTGAGGCAGAACTACAAAGCGTCTTTGGGGGCAGAGGGTTCAGTCTGGGAAAGTTGGGTCTTAGTTTAGATGGGGTTCTTATTGTTGGGGCGGTATCGTTAAAGAGCCCTACAGCTGGTGACAGGTAAGGATTTGAGGGCAAGCCCCTTTCCACTTTAGCAGAGCAAAGTGCGTAAAGCAGGCAACCTCCTCTCCAGCCTCTGCTAAGGTGAGATGGGAGGAGCTCCCCCTGAATTCTTGTCACCAGCTGGAGTTCCCAGTTGGAGAAGGGAATCACTGTTTTAGGGTTCAAGTGAAAACCCTGAAGGATTCAAACTATATAACAAGGGTCGGGTGAAATGTGTGACAAAGTATGGTGCTGTGAAGAGGTTCGTGACTACGTAAGGACTTGAGGAAATAAACACAGAAGCGCATCTCTTCCTTGGTTCTCAGTAAAAATTAAATGAATGTTAAATAAAAAGGAGCATTTATATTGCAAGCAGAGGCATAGGGGGGGGGGGGGGGGGGGGGGGGGGGGCTTATGGGTGTTCAGCCCCCCCCCCCACCCCACCAAATCCAGCCGACCCAATAATATACACATGCATTTTGACCCCCCCCTCTCCCCACCCCAGGTCATGGACATCCGAACCACCACAACGCCGCCGCCCGCCGCCGCCCACCGCCGCCGCCTGCCGCCGCCCCCCCCCCCCCCCCCCCCCCCCGAAAAGAATTCCTGGCTACGCCACTGATTGCAAGCCTGTGCGGTTAAACTGGGAGGTCATGAGGCTTCATTTTCGAGCATTCTCCAAAGAGTGCAAACGTGAAAGCAAGATGGAAAAACATCAATTTTTCAATGACGATTTGAAGAAAGCATCAGTTGAAAACCCAGTGATGTGATTGGCCTAAGCCATTTTGGAGCACCTTTTGGAGCAGCCAAAACAGTGTTTTGGAGCAGCAAAAGTGGCCTTTGGAGCAGCCGGAACAGTGTTTCGGAGCAGCAAAAGTGGCTTTTGGAGCAGATATTCTTAGAAAAATAGAAATATTTGTTTTAATTGATGGACAAACGAAGGGCGCTTTGTGGTGTGTTGTGACAGAACTCGCTGTTTGTGTTTTACTACTGAGACATCCCACAAGTGTACAGAGTTATAGGCGTTGCCGAGCAATTCCGAAAAGAACGCTTGCCACCGATTTACTGGATCCCGACATGCCAAGTTTTCGTCAAAAGTAAGCAAATGCAAAACAATGAATTGCAAGCGTCCCGGCTGGCGTCCCTGTCATGCAGTCATGTTCATATGCACGTGAGGGCAACTTCAGCAGGCTTGCAGGGGCCGTGCTTCGTTGCGCGAGCGGATACAACGGCTGTTGAATCTAAACCGAAACAATGCAACTCTCCTCCGTCGCCAACTGGTTCCCAAAATAGTATGCAAAATGTAACTGTCCAGCATACAAAAAAAAACAAAAAAAAAACAGTTGAGCGGCTTGTGTTTGGTAGGCCACAGGCGATGTACAAGCTAAACACACAGAAAAAAAGAACCTGAGCACATCGATGCATGACATCGCGAACCAGGGTCAAAACGTTCTTGGAGCGCTTTGTGCAACGACCAAACTCGAGACAAACAAGTGCGACGTGCGGGTTCACACACTGCCTTCTTTGCTTTAGCTCACTTCTCTTCACCAACTTTCTTTCGCGGCAGATTTTTCACCGTACCGGGCTCCCTCTCGAAAGAAAGTCCACCGAGAGAAACCGAGGTAATCAATATTTCGACAAGCAGTCGTTGAGGTAGGGGTTCTTTGTAGTAGAGTATAATTTAAAGAAGGCCAGGAATGTCGATAAACAAGTTTAGAAAGCGCCATATCTGCAGCGATGTGAGGACGGCAACACCCGACGTCGCGCGACCACGGTGACTGTGGTCGCGCGAGCGTTTCAGTTCACAAAGTAACTCTCGCCGCCCAAAAATTGTGGTTTTGTTTCACAGCATGACGGCATGGCTGGCACCCGGCACACTAGCTTCGGAGCGTCCGCACACGCTTGCTTCTATCGTTGAAAAAATTTAAAAAGACAAAAGACGAGATTTTTGAGACGACGAGGTACGAGGGCACGGGCAACGTTGGGCATGAGGGCGCGAAACACGAGACGGCAGCAAGGAGGTTAGGACGACGGGAAAAAACATGCAAGACCGGATGGACGATTGATGCAGGGTACTTTGTGTCGGGTAGAGTTCCGCGGGAGCCAAAGTTGAGCGTCTGTTTTCCACGTGCCGCCGCGCCGCTATTCGCCGAGATCCGATCACGTGAGGAGCCGGATCAAGTGCTGTGCAGGAAAGTAGACGTTGCACGCGCCCCGCCGAACGTTCCCCTGCTTTTGAGCGCGCCGCGCGCCTCGAACGCGCGGCGCTGCTATTTGCTGAATTCAGTCACATGAGACGCTGGATCAACATGCCATGCAGGAAAGACGGCGCTACGGGGATGAACGCGCAACTCTGGCTCCCGTAGGGAGCCTATACAGGAACTCTAGTGTCGGGCGGCCGCTTGCGTCACCTAGCAGACGCATGCGCAATTACGGTTCTCAGTTTAGTTTCGGTTTTGAAGGGCGACCGAAATTGCTCCTTTGGCGCAGGCTTGGCGCAGATTACCTACATTTTGGCAAAATGTAGCAGGATGTAGCAGGGTTAGCCCCTTGGCACAGTTTGGCGCAATTGGCGCAGCAATCCCATCACTGAAAACCCCAAGAAATTTTGGTCGATCATCGATCCTAAACCTAGAGGTGCCAACCTGCCCACCTCCGATTCACAAAGTGGTTGCTTCTAATTTCCACACCTTTTTTGGTGAAATGTTTCCTCCTGAAACTTTCCCAGCCCCAAGCTGACCAAGCTCTGAACGTCTCATGCCCATGGAAGATGTTTACCTCTTAAAAGAGACGTAACTGTCATTAACCGCCTTCCTCTGAAACCTGGTAGTGATGGAATTAACTCCCGACTCTTAAAATTAACCAAATTTCTAATTTTTGAGCAATCTTTTAAACTCTCCCAACTGCCGTCTGACTGGTTATATGCGAACATAATCCATAAAAACAGGCCTATGTCATTGACTAGTGTTTCATGTAAACTTTCAAAGCAAATTGTCTCCAGCAACATAATGTCACATCTGGATAGCAACAGCTTGTTCTCTAACCAGCAGGGTTTTCATAAGGACCTTGTATTACCCAACTGTTTGAACTTATCAATGATTTCCATACTACGGTAATCTGCATTCTTCCAGACGCAATCTCCATAGACTTTCCAAAAGCTTTCGATTGGGTTTCCCATAACAAATTAATACACATACTCGCATATCTAAACGTCAACAGTAACGCTGCCTCCTGGATTGAAGCTTTCCTATCACATCATGCTCAATCTGCGATTGTCAATCATGTGACTTGGCCTCCTCTGAATGCCTTCTCTGGCATCCCTCGGGGTTCTGTTTGAGGCCTGCTACTTTTCCTAATTGATAGAAAGTTAGACTGCCTCTTCATTCTCCTCTACAGTTCGATTCTATGCTGACAACCTTGTGCTCTATCGAAATACTTCTTCCACTGATGACTGCAGAACCTTGCAACGAGATCTAGAAGCGTTAATCCCGGAATCATCTAAAATAATGTCATTCTCAAGATCACAAAACAAAGTTGGCTTTTCATATTCCATTTCATCTGCCGATATTGAGTGGGTGAACGCATTTAAATATTTAGGGGTGTACCTCTCTTAAGATTTACCATGGACTCTCAATTACATCTGTTCTAAAGCTAACCAAACATTAGGGTTTTTGAGAAGGCATATTTTTTTCACCAACTCCTTCGTTAAACGTTTAGTTTATACGGTAAAACCTCGTTAATTCAACCCCCGCAAATTCGGAAATTCGGATAATTTGAACTGCCAATCCGGTCCCGTCAAATGTATGCATTAGTCAATGGCAGCAAACGCACATTAATTCGGAGGGAATTAAGTGCGGCAGAAACACCGTGAACACAGCACTCGGAAAACGTTTTTCTTTTTTTCTTACGTATAAGCGACGTTGCACTTGAAATTTTGCAGGCAGATCGAATCGTACCACGTGCTGAGCGCACAGGACAACACAGGCATATTTGGTGCTTTCTTTTTGCTCACAGATCCTTGCCTTACTTTTGTGGGCGAGCTTGAGTGCTTTCTGGCGTGCATTCTCAATCCGGTATACAAGGATGATATGATGAAGAAT